GGGGGGGGGGGGGGTTGGAAAGGGGTTCAACACATACCTGAGAGCCGCTGCTTCCAGGGACCTGATGCTCCACCTGGTGGCTAGCATCGACCGGAGGGCAATCGGTGCCTGGCAAGATGGGTGCTTCGGAGCTTGTGGGCTTGGGATCCTTATTTCCTTTCGAATCCTTTTTCGTTTTCTTAGTGGCTTTGCCTTGGTTTTTCTTCCACTTGGACGCAGCTTTCTTGAACAGTTTGGAGTCAAGGAAGCGTGGATAAGTGTCCCGACGCATAAGCCAGTACACTTCCTTCTGGGCTGCTGAAAATGTTGAGGTTGGTTTTGGGCTGCAAATGGACAAAGAGATACGTGAGCGGGATTTGCCTACTGCATTATTCCTTGCTTGGCGCTGACAAAAAAAAACACTCACGTTTGCTTCATTCCGGCCTGAACGGAAGCCAAGTTGCCGGGCTCCACATTGAGTGATTGTCTTGAGCCAGCCACTACAAGGTGGGCGGAAAGTTGACAAAAGCGAGCGTCGCGGAAAGTGAGTGAGACCGATTGTGCTTTAAGCACCCCCGCCACGTGTCCAGGTGCAGCTGCGTACCAAAATACTGGTTGTAAATGCGCTCGATATCCGCTTGCTGCGTAGTCCGAGGATTCGACAAGCAAGGCAGATCAAGCGTAACAACAATAAGTCACCACTCAAGCACAACACGCGGGCTTGACCCTGTCGGTCGAAACAGGTACGTACTGCTTGGGATTCGGGCAGCTTGCGCATTGCTTCCACGTCCCGGAAGAATCGACCATTTTCTTCGCAGTGGATGGTTTTCATAAAATCAAGGAACAAGGTAAATCCTGTGTCGGTCAATCGTCAATACCACAAGGGTGAGCCGCCCGTGAAGCCGCTAAGCATGCTCAAGCTCAATGGTTCAAAAGTCAAAAGTCAAATTCAAACCTTCGTCATCCAGCAGAAGGAGGTTGAAATGCTTTGCCCAGCGATCAGGCCCTTCAAGATCGTCAAATGCATCCATATTTTCGGGAGCCTCGTCTTCTGGTCTGCAAAGCGTATGATTAAACGTTAGATAACGGCACAAAAGTCGCTCGGGAAGCACCCTGGTGTAGCGGCGTTGCAGCGGTTCAGAGAAAGGAGCTGAAAGGGTCCACAGCCACAAATGCGTACCGCCATGCACGCGTTTTAGCTTCGACCTTGTTCTTGTGCTTGTTTAGCAACGCAAAAAAATCTGGGCACAACAAAGCGTACAACGACATGCATATCCATCGGTAAGCTCCCGTGTACAATCTGTGTGCGCGCGCACACGCACACAAGCGCAAGCGCACACACCATCATCGTCATCCTCTTCGGCAACGTTGGCCTCGGCAGTGGCTGACGCGCTTGTTTCTTGGGGCTTGGCCTGGTTTGGTGTCTCGGACTTTGAAGCACTACCCGCCGCCTCCTGCTTGGCATGCTCGGGTAGTTGAACGCCTCTGAACGGTTCGGCAACAGTTTGAGCCTGACCTGTAGGAGGGGGTCGCTCTATGCTCACGTCACCTGCCATCTCAGTTGATGAAGGGCTCGCGTGGATCTCTTCTGCAAGGCTGGACGATTGCGCGTGAGTCCCCGGCACATTTAGCAGGGAATTCAGAGTGCCCGGCTCCACGTCATTGCCGTCAATGTAAACATCGTCAAGCTGGTCAGATGAAAGATCCAGGTTTTGCTGCACAGTCCTGACCAGTGCTTCCTGGTCGGATTCAGAAATGTAAGCAGACCCGTCCTCATCGATTGCCTTGGATGCTGCGTGCTCCACGACTGGATCATTCTCTGGCTCCTCATCGAGAACAACTGGCAAAGGTGTCCAATCACCGCCTTGCACCTTGAGAGCGGACGAGCCCACAGCCGAGGAGGCTTGGGAAGTTTCCGACATGGGACGTGAAGGCACTTCCGTGGTGGAGGGAAGCAGGCCGGGGGCATCATCCTCATCACTATCATCACTCTCAACGTCGTCAGTTTCCTTGTTTCGAATCAGACTCACGAGGCGCTCTGAAATACGAGGACCCAGTGGCGAAGACAGGCGGCGAGAATTCTCCCAATCTTGTGGGAAAGGCGAAGGACTGTCAACGTGGGATGGCCGACCGTGCCAAGCCGGATCGAGGGGTGGAATGCTGCTACCTGAGTCCGACATTCGTCCAGCACGATTGCCACTGTGCATTCCTCGCTCCAATGCCAAGGGCGGCAGCGGCGACGAAGCAAGGGAGGACACGGAGGCGCGTTGGCCGCGAGGGTGAGCAACATCTTCATCGGAATTGACCGTCTGATGGCGTTCGGCCAACTCCTCGAGGGTGATGGCAGACATGCCTCGAAGAATGATGGCATCCGCGTCTGGCGTGTGTGGCACAATGCTAGCCGGAGCAAGCTGCGGCTTTGATGAGCTTGATGCGCGACGCGAGGCAGAGGAATTTATCACAGAAGCGGAGTTGGCAGCGGTGCCGCGCTGTGCTCGCTCACGAGAGCTCGTCGATCGCTGGGCCATCTAGGGGATTTGACAAAAAAAAAAAAAAAAAAAAAAAAAATCGAAAGGGGGGATGAGCGGGCAAGCACGAGAGGCATCGGTGGGCAGCCAAGCCTGTGATGCTGTTTATTGCCCATGCATCAGAGTACGTGTCCAACCTTGAGGTTAAACGCAGTTTCTTCGTCGGATTCGTCTTCTTCGCTCTCGGCATCCATGAGCATGATCTGTAAGTCGTCGGCACCACACCGCAGCTCGGGGTCCCGCTCCCACATGCTGGCCAGTTCGTCTGCACAGAGAAGGAGAAAATTGAGCATGCGTGTATTCCGCAGCAAGAAGGGCAAAGATACATACCAGGCATGCCAGCTGGTTTTGCCGGACAAGCGCCCTGGACGCAGATCTTGCGCACCAAGTCGTCCATGCTGTCAGCTTCCGGGCACAGCTGCACTCCTCCTGAAGCCACTTCAGCGATAATCACGCCCAAGCCTATGCATGGCGTGGGTGGCCCCACAAGAGCAGCAAGATTTTGAACCACAACGTGAGTGCTTCAATGAACCCTAATCACTCGACAGGGACGTGGTGGCACAGGTACGCACTGTAGGCATCGCCAGCTTGGCTCACAGCGGCCTTGTTGGTCAAGACCTCGGGCGCAGCATATCGCGCAACGTTGACCGCATTCAGGGCTTGTACGGCAAGATAGGGCAGCGCATAACCCAGGATCTTGGCGTCACCCGCTGCATCAATAGCAATGAAGTGTGGCGAGAGGCTCCCATGCAAGAGCTTGAGCTCATGCAGCGTACTCACGCCCCCTGCAATTTCCAAACAAAGTCTAATAATACCCGGTTAACTGTGAGCTGACGCAAGAGTATGCAACTAGCAAATACAGTCACACATACCGATGCCGCTCGGCCTCTGTCTCAAGAAGGCTTGAACTTGTGCCTCGGCGATGCGCATTAAGCATCTCAAAGAGAGAGGTATCATCCGCTGCCGAGGTCAAGAAATAAGCTTCCAAGCCCAACAGAGGCGCTCCAGCGACCTGCACGGGAAGGTTTGGTAAATGCGTGCAACATCACGGAGACCGCAATCACGAACGGACACATTAGAAAAGTACAGGTACGTTGCCGCGGCTGCGGCTTGTCTTTACAACGGGCTCAACGTACATAGAGAAAGCTGAGACCATGGAAGCCAGTTAACAACGCTTGCGCCTCGGTAGTGAGGTCCTCTGCGTTCTCAGCAAGGCTCAAGAGGCTGGGTCGCTATCGGGTAGGAAGACCGTCATACATGCCAATGATCATGAGCTTGAGGGACGAACATTGAAAAACAGCTAAGCTCATGAGACAGGGGTGGGTTGCAAGCTGGCCGACCGTACCGAAGGCATGGTGCTAGAGGGATACAAAGGAAGATTTGCCCGCTCAAAGCAAAGGGCCCACACAGACCGGCGATTAACCTATGGACAGCAACCACCAGCCCGTATCGGGTGAGCCGGGAAGAGGATCTGATTGAATGGTCGGGTAAAAAGGCCACGAGGAAGGAGAATATCACCTCGCAGCGCTTGAGTTGAACGTGACCAAAGCGGTAAACAATCCGCGATGTGGTATACCGGCGAGCCATGTCGACTCGAGCCAACGCAGCCACATCCCCCAAAAAAGCCTCAGGATCATTGTGGCGATCAACAAACACTTGGTCCGCCTGCATTGGTTGATCAGCTGCGGACTTGGCTGGAATGCTAATCGATGCTGCTGCCACTGCTGCCGCCGCAAGGGCCACGGGTTCTGATGACAAAGAAGGGCGCGCTGAGAGCGGCGAGAGCGTGGCTTGAGAGCGTCGTGCCAAACGACGGGCTGCTGTTTTGCTGGCACTGGTCGGCAGCTGGGTCGCGTTGATGGCCACGGTGGCTTCAGATCGCGGTGATGAAGGGCCAACAAAAGAGTCGCTCGCTTCGGCTAGGATGGATGCATTGTCCAATCGACCCGGGGTGGCAACGGCTGCAGGCATCAGCGGGGCATCGTCAAAGACGGGCCCAGGGGGCGGTGTCGGACGATCGCTGGATAGCGAGTGTGTGCGTTGCGGTGAGATGACGCCTTGAACAAAAGGAGTACTTTGCGATCCCCCACGGCGGCCCTGATGGTGGGGCGTGGCCCCTGGCTTGCCCGGGTATTGCGGCGGATTGGAGAGACTGGCGGCTCGTGTTGCACCCGTTAGATTGCCACGGGCAGGACTAAAAGGCAAGCCCGCCATTGACGCTAAGCTCGGAACAATGCTGCGACCTACGATCGAGGCGGCACAGTGGGAAATTGCATCCGACATTAATCGCGACTTCCTCGTGGCAATCAAGGCATAGAGTCGTGTGCACCAAGACGTACTGCTACCATCAAAGAGGAAGATCAGGTAATCATCGCTCTCCGCTCGAACAACGACGACAAATTGTGATGTGTGGAGGCTGGCATGATCAACGAATACGACTTGGGAAGTCGCGAAGAGATGCAAGGCTTGATCATGGCGGTCAAAAAGGACCACCTGATCTCGTGACAGGCGCAATTGGCCCTGCTCAAAGCGGGACCACGACGCAGGGTCAATCAAGCTATTGTGGAAGATGCAGACGAGGTCAAAGATTTGGCGCAATGACGACGTGTGCCAGTGAGTCAGTCACGGAGTAACTACGCGCA